AAAACAATTAAAATTAATATTTATTTTAAATTTACCCCCATTTTTTGACAACCGAGGCTGTGCTAAACATTACTGCTGTTCTGTTCACCGTGAAAAAGGAGACGATGGCTGATCCTACCAATGGCCAACTGAAAAGATTGGTTTGAACCTCGGTGCTTGGATGCGGATCGAACCAAATCAAGCCTCTAGGCTTAGGGTCCAACTCCATGCGCACAGACCGCGCACACGGAGCACCAGGTCGAATTCCTGGAGCCCAATTTCTCCGGCGAATCTTCATGCCGACAGCTGCGAGAGCAGAATAGGAAGGCGGGGATCTTCGACCCTGACAACCATGAGCATCGTGCCTAAGGAAACCATAGAGGTTATCGCTCAGAGCATCGGCATCGCTAATCTCTCTGCTGATGTCGCCCTCACCGTCGCCCCTGATGTTGAGTATCGCCTCCGCGAGATCATGCAGGTTTTTCCTTATTTTTGCTGTTGAATCTGTTGTTCTTAGAGTTCTACTGCTTCCGAGTGGCTGATTGATTGATTGATTGATTTGTGTGAGCGAAGGAGGCGATCAAGTGTATGCGGCACTCGAAACGGCATGTTTTGACGGCGGACGACGTGGATAGCGCGCTTAGCTTGCGGAATGCGGAGGTTTGTTGTTTCTTTTGGTTTATTGAGTTTGTTTGATGATGTTTGTTGCTAGAATCGGAAAATTAGGGTTTTTTTTTTAGGGTTATCATGTATTGTGAAGGAGTTCAAATTTTCCTACCTTTGTGGCTTCTGTGGTGTTTAGCTGCTTGCTTTCATTGTTGATTTTAGATCGTGGTACCTTTCTGTGCACTGTTAGCCTTTGAACTGCTGTGAAGATTCCTGTTTTGGTTGCCCGTGTGACTATCTGAAAGATTAGAGAATTCATATCTCGATAATGCTTGCTTGTATTTTTAATCTGTTGTTTGCAAATTTGTCGAATTTAAACAAGTTCATGGGTTGTATTAATGTAAGCTCGCTTGAGTCTGAATTTGCAGGCAATTCATGGATTTTTATCTAGGAAAATTTACATAAATAACCCACATTTTTTATGGATTTACATACCCAAAACCAAAAATTCGATATTTACATTTATAACTCCTTAGTGTTGTAAACCTATGCATACAAAGATGTATTTTCCTTTTAAGAAGTTTCTAAGAGTCCTACTTTTGAAGTGATATTAAAGATTTGAGTTTTATATATGTAAATTTGAAAATTTAAATGTTATGTAAATACATAAGAATTGCGTGGTCTGAATGTAAATGCCCCTTTTATCTATTTCCTAAGTTCTTTCAACAAGCTTATAAATATCAGCCTCACTTCCTTTCCGCCCAACCAAGACAAAAAAGAAAAGTCTTTTTTTTAATTATTATTTCAAGCCTAATGCTTCTATTTTTTACAGCCACTTTATGGGTTTGCCACCAATGATCCATTGAGGTTCAAAAGAGCTGTGGGTCACAAGGATCTGTTCTACATCGACGATAAAGACTTAGAATTTAAAGATGTACTGTCACATCTACCATGATTATTTTTAGTTATGATAATCCAGCCATTGTTTTGCTTTACTATGTAATTATTGATTTATTTGCTCTATTTATGATAGGTGATCGAAGCACCGCTACCTAAAGCACCTCTTGATACTACTGTGGTGTCCCACTGGTTGGCCATCGAAGGGGTGCAGCCTGTGATTCCCGAAAATGTTCCGATGGACAGTAGGTTCTATTTTTTAGTGGAGCGTGCCTCTTTTCTTGCTATCACCGTTGCTTATCACTATAGCTAATCACGATAAGCTTGCAATAAGCTTGATAGTATCTCTCTGTTGTTTTCTATGCTTACGTTAGCTTGATATTGTAAACTATTTGGTTGAGTTGTATGGTCTTTACCATCCAGGTTTGAGATCTAAGATTTAAATCTCAGCGTAAAAGGCGTTTCTGATCGACCACAAGATTTAATCCGTATTGGTTTTTGACAGGGAAATTTACATACATACCGCCCAATTCCTAGGTATTTACATATCTAACACATAAACTTTATTTTTTATGTTTATAAAACTCAAATCATTCACATCACACAAAAAATACCACTATTTTAACTTTCAAAAAGTGAAATACACATTTTCATAAACAGGCAAGGTGATACACATGCAAAAATTAAAGCGTAGGTGTTAGATACGTAAATGCATATGAATTGAGTGGTATGTTTGTAAATATTCCTTTTTTATATCGTGGACTCCAGTTTTGTTCTACAAATGAATTGGTTTTTTTCGGTTGCGATGAATGTTTCTATATATGATCTAGACATTTCCTCTAACACTTGAGCCTTCACTTATCATAACCTGAATATGAAAATCTAATTCTTATATTATTCACCATCTTAATACTTTCCAGCTATTCTTGCAACAATTGATAGCAAGAAGGAATCTGCAAGAGATGATGGACTTCCCATCGATATTAGGCTTCCAGTCAAACATGTTCTTTCCAGAGAACTTCAGGTGATATTTCAGTTTTGATATCAGTGCTTTCTTTAAATATTGGGGCATTTATATGCCTACAACCCAATTCTTATGTATTTACATATCCAACAAATAAAATTTGCTTTTTTTACCTTTATAACATCCAAATCTTTCATGTCACATAAAAAATAACTCTTTAAGTTGTTAAAAAGTGCATTAGACACCTTTTCATGAATAGATAAGGTGGTTTGTATGTACAAATTTAAGTGGTATGTAAATAAATGGGAATTAAGTGGCATGTATGTAAATCTTCCTTCAATATTTTATCAAGTATCAAAACAATGGTCTTATGGAAAGCTTGTAATCATGTTAATTCCTTTGTATTTCAGCTATACTTTGATAAGATTTCGGAGCTAACCATCAGCAAGTCTGAATCTGCCATTTTCAAAGAAGCATTGGCAAGTTTGTCTAATGATTCGGGGCTTCACCCTTTAATCCCATATTTCTCATACTTCATTTCAGATGAGGTAAAAATGTTAAATCTTCTTTTGTTTGTTGACTTTTTGTATCAAGTAAATTTAATTTCAGATGAGGTAAAAATGTTAAATTTTCTTTTGTTTGTTGATTTTTTGTATCAAGTAAATTTATGGTACCATTTAATGGAATTTTAAAATTTACAGGTTTCCCGTTGTTTAAATGATATTCCCACCCTTTTTGCTCTGATGCGTGTTGCGCAAAGCCTTCTCCGCAACCCGCACGTACATATTGATCCATATGTAAGTTACTTGATAGCGATATGCAACTCAAAATCAACTTCTCTTGTAGCTGTTGAAGCATTTATTATTTTATAAATATGAAGTACTTGTAATGCTCCCTACACTATGAAAAATGCCAACTCTCCCACCTTCAATGATCGGACAACATAGAGATATGCTTTGTGAAATTATAACTGATGTCATATCTATTCTCTGACTCCTTCATTCTCTTCTCTATTTGGTAACAATATTGTGTCATAACTCTAATGCTTGTAAATTGCATAGGATTGCCTACTTTCATGGTTTATGAGGGGCTCTTTGAGTTTATTTGTGCGCGTATGTTGGTGGGATGCTTGAATACATTTTGAATTCAAATGGAGTCACGAACAATAATTTGGCCCATAGAGAATTTTTTTTTTGTTTATTTGGAATATCTCATTCTAACCGTAAATTTTTTTTCGTGCTTTAAAATAGTTTCACAATTTTGTTCTATATGGAAAATATTTAATATTATGGTGTTATGTTTTTTCCTTGAGATAAATTGTGCTGTGGAGTTCAAGTTAGAACACACATATATTAATTATATTAATGGAATTTTTCTCTGTGTTGGTAGTTTTGTCTAGGGGTATTTACGTACATAGCACAAAATTCTTATTTATTTACATATCTCACACCTAAACTTTCATATCTTTTATATCGCATAAAAAATAACACTATTATCAGTTTTTTTAAAAGTGAACTCTAGCTTTTCATGCATAGGTTTAAAAAACCAAAGTGCTATGCGTTTAAATATGAAAGTTTAGGTGTGAGTTATGTAAGTACATAAGAATTGTGTGCTACATATGTAAATTTCCCTTCTATTTATTGTGCCATACTAATGGGCTATATTTATCTTTACACTGCAGCTGCATCAGCTGATGCCTTCAATGATAACTTGCATTGTTGCTAAAAGGTTGGGGAATAGACTTGCAGATAATCATTGGGAGCTTAGAGATTTCTCTGCAAAACTTGTTGCTTCTGTCTGTAGAAGGTGAAGTACTGCTTGATTTTAAATCAGCTATTATTCATTTTTCTTAGGGTTCTTGCTGCAAATTTATTTATAACCATTGATAAATTATTTTATGGACTTCATCTTTGTCATGACTTTGTTGTTTTTGGCATAGTATGAATTGTAACCAAGAAAATTTTTTTTGCAAAACTTTGTTGTGACATGAATTGTAACCAAGAAAATTAGTTTTGCAAAACTTTGTTGTTTTTGGCATAGTAGCTTTGAGTTTGCAAATTTTAAGAATTGTGAAAACATATTTACATTAATAAAAAGGAAGATTTACATACATACATACACGATGCGGGCGCCTCTCGCTCGGGAGCGGGACACTGCCCTCCCGCGCGTAAGCGTGTAGAGCACCTGGTTACCTGGAACGGTTTAGTCTAAGCTTTCTTATATTTTGGAGTGTCGGCCAGCATTTGGTCCCACTCCTATTTATCTTATTGTTATATATTTGGGTTTTTGCTGTTCTAGGGTTAGTTTTTTGTATTTTTTGTATTTTTTGTATTGGGACAGCTGCCGGCATATATTTTTACCTTCCAGAACCGTATCCAAGGGTTCAGGTGGTATTCTAACTATATCTTGTTCCTGATATGGTAATTATCTTTCCTATTAACCTTCCGCATCCTCCCCACATTGCTCCCGACCGCCTTTTCCTTGTTGCAGCCGGCCAAACAACCACATAACACTATTTTCTTGCAGTTTCTCACTTTTCCTCGCTGCTGCTGTCTCGGACAGCCATCATTTCGCTGTCATGTAGTCCACCGCATCCCCTTCGCTATCGCCGCCCTTCTTACTTGCTGCCGCAGTCCGGAATAGCACTTCCCCTGCTGTTTGGCCGCTCGTCCAGCCCCTCATCCTTGCTGCCAATGCCCAAGACAGCCCGCCTTCTCAATGTTCCAATAATTTCTTACATTCCCTTTGCTGCAACCATCACTCCCTTACTACCGCCTCTCCATCCGGCCTTTCAACCACTTTCTGCTACCTCTTTGGAGGTTCAAACTCATCATTAACTTTTCAGGATCAAGCGAGTGAAGAATAGGACTTACTAAATTTTCATAAGTAAACTCTTATATTTCAATTTATTAAATATTCATTGATACTAATTATTAATGGGTAAGCGTGCATAACCAACAATCAAATAAAATACAAAGCTTCTAAAATACTTAAATATAAAATCGTACTTATCCCAACAGTTTTTTATAGCCGCTTAAATTTTTTTACATTCAAAAGCTACACAAAGGAATGCATCTCTTGACTAAGAGTCTATTTGCTCCTTACCCCTTTCTAAAGGTTAACATTGCAATATTAGTAAACTACATACTCAATGAGATTATCAGTGTTAAAATAAGATTCAGTAGGCAATAAAAAATATACATGTTGGCCAATGACTAATGTGAGTAATAACTGTACCGATAAACAAACACACTAGAATATTTAAAGGTACAAAAATATGAATTAAATGCAGTTTATAAAATAATGTTTGGAAATAATAGAATTGTTATTGTCAATTTTCATTCATTACACTATGCAAGATCATATACGTTTTTACGTTGCTTTTATTTTCATTTTTACTTTTAACATTTTGTCTTTGAAATTCTTTAAAATGCCGCATTATATTTGTATAGATTTTGAATTATTTAATTTTATTTTATCTTCACTCTACCCACAAGCTATAGTCACCATTGATGAAGGTTGGTTGTTCCAAAAATCTTGTTTTATAAATGACCCTCTGACACTAACTGATCCACACCAAGTTTCCAATCTTAATATCAAGAGTTGAGAATTCAATTATATTTTTATCAAACCTTATCTCATAAATACTCTTGCCTTTTCTATATAGATTATCAATATTGTCACAACCTGGACCGGTGAGCTTGGAATTACCAAGGCGAGAACTGACGGTCCGACAGAAGAAACCTATCTAATAGTTTCATTTTATCACAAACATAAAAATTCAAAACACAAAAGAGTCATTCTATTTATAAATTTATATTTACAACAGTTGTTCATATTTAAATAATTACATTCAAACAACAAATAAACTAAACTACAATACGTATCAACAGAAACAACAAATAAACTAAACTACAATACGTATCAACTTGCGCTCTACAACGCCTGTACACGTACTTTATGGGGTCCATCTAATCTATAGTTGTTTTTTTTGTAAAAATATTATGGTTTGAATTAAAACTATTCAAGGGTAAATATTCTAATTATAATAATTCTCATTTTAAAATATTTTTATAAAATTGCTACAACAGTAAAAATTTGTGCGGTAGAAGAGAGCAGTAAAGTAAATAATTTCATTTTCATTCATTAATCTAGGTTACACTTTTCATAATTGGGAGTTATCTTCTAAACGTATACTTTATAAAAATATACGTTTAACTTTTTCCAACTCACCATAAAGGTAGACGACCTTTTCAATTTCTATTTCTATTTTTGTTTCCATTTTCTTTTCCATTTCATGCACGGGTACAATGCATCCCCCTACTAGTATCATCCAGGGCTGACTTCTATATGCATGCATGTATCGTATTTTATTCATTTTTATCTTATATATAACATTTAAAAGGAAACTTGCATTTAACATTTAAAAGAAAAACATGGACTTTTATATGTTAAAATAAAAGCCGAGAAACAATAAAAATCTGCATAAATAAACAAAATTATTATAAAATAAAAATATATTACTCACCTCAGCAATGTTGTCTGCTATCATTTTTTTCAAGCCAATCTAGTCCTTAGGTTAGGCTTACTTAATTTTTAATAACACATCATATTTAATTAATTTAAATCAATTTCTCTTTTTCACTAATTCTAACCTAACTAATTAGATATTTTTATTTACCCTTGTTATCTAATTAAATTATTATTTATTGTTATTTAATAAGTGTTTTTCTTAATTACTCTTAATCTTAACACTAACAATATATAATTTAGTTAACTACATTATAATACAATTAATAAGACTTCTTAAATCATATTTTGTAATTTAACACAAATTAATGAAGCAAAATGATTAAACGTAAAATTGAGAGTTTATACATGAAATTCCCCTTCTTTTCTTTGCCTTAGCTTCTTCAAAACCCTAAAATTGTTAACAACAATAAATCATATTAACTTGTAGAATTTTATGAAATTTAATTTCAATTAAATTCACTTAAGAACTTGACATTGTTCAATATCTTACCTTATTAACCCTCTGCCTTGCCCTAATGTTTTGAACCAAGCCTCGCCCGGTTGAAATCTCCCGCACGCAGAGTCTTGCAAGCCCTTCCTCCTCCCTAAGCTCTCGGTAAGCTTCAAACAGCCGCTCATGCCCCTCTTTCTCCTCCTCCTTCCTCTACGAGCCACACAAGTTGGTTAGCCCGTCTCCTCCTTCCCCTACGAGTTGCACGACAGGGAGAATTCGCCGTCTCCTTCCTCTTCCAGCTCTCGATCGAGCTTCTTACAAGCCGCACAAGCTCTCCTTCCTCTTCTGTGGCTACGTTAGGGCACAAACGTAGAAATTTTTTTCCACACGTAGAGGGCTCGAACGACCCCACCCAAGCAAAGAAGAGGGAGGAGAGCTCCTCCTCCAACTTCTTGGAGCTCTCCTCCCTCTTCTTTGGCTTGATAAGGTCGTTCGAGCTTTCTTCCCTTCGATTTGATTGTGATCAGTGGAGGGAAACAACCAGGTAAGTCGCTCGCCGCCTCTACCCCCTCGTCTTCTTATTCCTCTACTGTGGCTTCTTCTTCTTCATTTTTTTTCTTCAACTTCTACTTTCTCTATCTCACTCTCTCGATCTCTCACGTATCGGTTGTCTCTCTCACTTTCTTCCTCTATTAAGATCAAATGATGAGTCGAGGGGATAGCCTCGACTTAGTCTTCCCATGTGCGGTGGGAATGATATTCGAATGACACTATGAAGCAGTGTCGTAATAATAAAACTTTTTTTTTCAAGAGTCGAGGGGATAGCCTCGACTTAGTCTTCCCATGGGCGTTGGGAATGATATTCAAATGACACTTATGAAGCAGTCTCGTAACAATAAAACTTTTTTTTTATTTTTTTTTCTTTATTTTTACAATGTTCCCTCTTTATAAAAAATTCATCCTCAAAATTTCATGTACAATAATATAATTCATATAATAACTGAATAGATGATGATATATTTCTTCATTTCTAATTCCTTTTCACATGTAGCATCTTTTTCAGCCTCGTGCTTCCATTATACTCGAACAAAAAGAATCTCTTTACTCATGAGCTGTTTTACATCAAAATCTATGATTTTTTCTGGCTCATCCACAAATGTCAAGTCAGGTTGAATATTTATAGGGTATGTGACAAGTTTACTAGCCTCATTACCAATGTACTTCCGTGACAAGGAGATGTGAAACACATTATGTACCCCATATATGTGTGTTAGTAGTGCAAGCCTGTAAGCTGCTTTCCTAATCTTCCCCAAGATTTCATACAGACCAACATATCATGGACACAACTTCCCAAACTGTCCAAACCGCTTAACACCTTTAATCGGACTCACCTTGAGAAAAAACAAATTTCCCCCACTTCAAATTCTATTGGTCGGTGCTTAGCATCATAATACTTTCTTTGTCTATCCTGGACTGCTCTCAATCTGTCACGAACCAGTCGAACTTTCTAGTTACTAAATCAGTACCAATTAATTTCATTTCCCCATTTTTTACCCTACAAAGAGGTGTCCTACATTTTCTTTCATAAAATGCTTCATAAGGAGCCATACCAATACTAGTATGGAAACTATTATTGTAAGTAAACTCTATCAAAGTTATATGCATTTCCCAATTTCCACCAAAATCTAGAACACAGTCGAAGCAAGTCTTCAAATATTTGGATCGTTCTCTCTAATTGATCTTCTATTTGGGGATGAAAAGTTGTATTAAATGTTAGTTGAGTACTCAAAGCCTCTTGAATTTTCCTCCACAGTTAGATGTGAATTTACCATCTCGATTT